AAGAAGAAGGGTTGGAGGTGGTCGGCTATGGTGGATGGGTGTGGGTAATGGAGGAAGAAGAAGGGTTGGAGGTGGTCGGCTATGGTGGACGGGTGTGGGTGATGGAGGAAGAAGATGGGTTGGAGGTGGCTGGCTATGGTGGACGGGTGTGATTGATGGAGGAGGGAGAAGGGTTGGGGTGGTCCTGCTATGGCGGATGGACGTGAAAGAAGGCCCGTTGGACGTATCCTAACTCCTGGCCCCGTGCCTCTGTTTTCTACTTCGGGTGCCTGGCTGCCCCATATCACTTTCGGAAGTCACCGGTTACAGCAAAAATGGGGAAGGGACTGAACTACAGCCCACACACACACACACACACACACACATACATACACCGAATGTCACCGGTACAGCAAGGGGTAAAGGTGGGCTGCACAGGTTACGGGGAACTGCAACACTCACACATACACACACCGAACGTCACTAGGTACAGCAGGGTGTAAAGGTGGACTGCACAAGCTACCGGGGACTGCAGCATACACATACACACACCGAATGTCACTGGGTATAGCAGGGCGTAAAGGTGGACTGCACAAGCTACCGGGGACTGCAGCACTCACACGTACACGCTCCGAGTGTCACTGGGTACAGCAAGGGGTAAAGATGGACTGCACATGTTACCGGGGACTGCGGCACTCACACACACACACACCGAATGTCACTGGGTACAGCTGGGGGTAAAGGCGGACTGCACAAGTTACCGGGGACTACAACACTTACACATACACACAGCGTTATAACCAAATAACAAAATTAAAGCAATCTGCCTAGAGGAAAGTTCGCCGAGGCATCCCAAGGTAATTCGCAACTTACACATGCATCACGATTAGTGAAAGCACAAGTTTTGAGAGCACCTAATCCAGCGGAAAGTTCACCGAAGCATCCCAACGTAATTCGCAACTTAGACATGCATCAAAATTAGTGACGGCACAACTTTGAGAGCATCTAACCCAGCGGAAAGTTCACCGAACTATCACAAGGTGAATCGCAGCTTACCCAAGCACCCAAATCAGAGACAACACAAGATTTGACGCATCTACCCTAGGGGAAAACATCACTGAACTATTACAAGGCGAATCGCAACTTACCCAAGCCCCCAAATCAGTGAAAACACAAGCTTTGATGCAATCTATGAAGGGGAAACATCACC